AGTAATGTACAGGCACCCTGGCATTGCTGCACCCCTCACCTGGGATCTTCTGGTCCGTCGTCACTCGTGGCATCTCCTTGCCTTGGCATTCGGAAGACTGCCTCTCCACGTACAATCTTTCACATCTCAATTTTTTTTCCCCCCTTCTATTAAGGTACATCACTTCTCCCTGCAAGTTTCCCAGAAGCTGCTGTCTCTCCCCAGCTCTGCTCCAGTTGCTGCTTCTCCTGAGCAGGATGGAAAGGCAATAACAGGTCGTGAGCTCAACTTCCAATCCTGATGCAAGCAATACTTTTAAAAGGGAGGAGAAAAAGATGTAAGCTCAATGGAGCCCCTGTGCAGTGAGCACACGGCTACCAGGGAAGGGGGCAGCAGGAACTGCCTGCACTTACAAAGCGTGAGACCATTTCAGAAGATAAAGAAATAGCTCACAGTAACGAGTGTTGGCAGTGTGGTTAGTGTATATCCAGCACGGACAGGGCGTGCTTGCACGGTTGACTGTGGACACTGGGGACGGACTCTCTGGGCACACTGCCCACGAAACAAGCAGCGGGAGCCCCTGCTTCCAGCATCAGGGAAATGCGCCTTCACTCCGAGGGACTGGGAAGTAGCTGCAAGCTGGACTCGTCTAGGTGCTATACCGACCGGGAGGGAAAGATGGGGCCAGAAGACACCGTGCCCATGGAAATGGGGGAGCATGGCCCCGCAAAGCAGTCAGGGCACTACTGAGAGCTGGGTTTGGGGAGGAGGGTGCCTGCAGAGCAAGTGTGTGGGCTGGCCCGTCCGTCCCCATGGCACTACCCAAACCCAATGCAACCTTATGGGCAGTGTTAACGGCGCTGGCTGATACTTGGACTACGCAGGGGTAGAAGACACCACTCTGGAGCAAGGTTATTAGATGCCGACTACCTTCAAATCCCTGAACTGCAAGGGCAACCCAGGAACCTTGCGGGGAAGCGGCCGGGCTGTCCCGGACCACAGCGAGGTTCGGAGGAGTGTGAATTTCAGGTGAACTAATAGGCTACAGTATGGGGGACTGCACAGGCGCTATCAGACAGCAAAGGAAGCAATAACTCTGTAGGTGTCCAGATAACAAGGGAAGCAATAACTCTTCAGGAGCACCCAAGTTCAGATTGACACCTATGCGGCGCAAGTCTGAGGGTCGCACCCTGCTGTTCCTCATGGGCTCTGCACACCAAGTGTTTTGGCAGCTGGAACGATTCATCAGTCAGCATGTTCCCGTCTCCTTGCCTATTTTCCGCTGTTTACCCGCTACAGGCAGAGAGGGGAACTCCTGTGCAGACAGCGCAGCGCTGAGCCTGAGCTCGCCAAGGAAAGCTCACGCCTGCTGCGAGATGGCTCTCGTCAGCGCTGCTGCGTCTTCACCCACGGCAGCGTCTCGGGCTCGCACTCGCAAGGCCGGGGACACTGGCAGTGGCGGAGTGCTGCTGGCAGCTCACCAGCTGGACATCTCCTTCTGGCAGGGCCTCTCTGGACTCCCGGAGCTTCAGGCTACGGCCCAACTATGGCACACACACAGTTCGAGAGTCCAACACCTGGTCTGGGGAATGGGTCATAAGTTATTTTATATTAGCAGTAGCGGAAAACTGCATTAAAAGCATTCATCAGTTCAGCTCCCTACTCTTGGAAAGCAGCTGGCACAGAGCAGACTTGATGCTGGAACATTTTTCCACCATGAAATTTCCTGAGACAGAAAAGTCAGAAGCATTAAATGAAAAATAAGTATAAAACCCTCCCAGTTCCCAGCTGGGGTGGTGTGGGGAGGGGGGTACAGCTGCCAGGAAAGGCAGACACATGAAACAGACCCATTTCTCCCACCCAGGCCAAGCATTGGCCAGATGTGCCAGCTGTCTGCAGGTGTGCACGCACCACGACTCCATGAAGGCCAACGACAACAGAGCAGAGAGTAAAGCCTCCCGCGGCATTTCCAACCCCCCCAAACGGCCTTGTTCACGAACACTCTCCAGCCTCTTTGAGCAAAATCCTGTTCTGATTCGGGAAGGCAGAAGGAAAGAGGCCCGACACTCAAAAAGTAACGCTAAAGGGACAGGTCGCAAATTATGCGGTAACTCCCGTTGTCTCCTGCCTGGAAGCCACTGCACCGCTCCGGGCTTGCACAGAGCGGGGCGCAT